CTTAAAAAGTATTTTGTCTTTTGTCTCGATATGCAGATGTCTACAACATGATGTGGGAAATCTGATAACGTTAGTTGTCCAGAGCAGGAAGTCATTTAATAGATGAACGATTCTGACGCATTCTTAGCAAATTAAGGACATTCTTTATTTCAATTTCAACCAGGCATGTAAGCTACTTTCTTTCATACGGAAGGTCATTTGAGATCTTGATGTTTTGTGGCCACTTTGCACAGATAAATCACATATTGTCAACCATTCTTAGGGAAGTACATTTTAGTGCACAAGTACGAATTTTATAGGGTGACTACTGGCAAATAAAATTTTGAGCCTATAAACGGTTTTACTCGGTGATTTCTTGATATTTTTACTAAAAATAGGATAAATAAATCTTAGTTATGGATTTGGAATCACTGCTTGAATTTACTTTACATACATATAAATAAATAAATATATGTATATATAATCTACCAGTCATGGAAAAATAAAGTGAAAGAATGGTAACTTGGTAAGACCAAACAGAGAAGACTTTTCTACAATGAATTAATGCTGGTTCCCAAAAATAGGAGATAAAATAAGCTGGATTCAAGAAAGATTTCAGGCTTTGGGCAACTTTCAAAATACTTGTACTTTAGCCCTACTTTTTATGCAGGCAGAAAGAGCGTTAAGCGCTTGCTATCCAGTATACAAGTCGCAACTCATTTTTTAGAATAACTTGTTGGTTTATCACTAATTTTGAATGATAAAAAATGATTTAAAAAGATTACAGGAAACAAATTTGTCTGACTCGCAGAAAGAGTATATGCCCAAGACTCAGTTCACTTGCATACCACGATTTATGAGAATTGTATGAAGGTCAACTTTTAAAAGCACCTGTTGATTATTTAAAAAATTGTTTTAATTAGGTATTGAGTATAATTTGATGCTGTCTCAAGACTAAGAATAAATGTTATCTCGCATAATAATAGTGAGGCGAAGTAATGCCACTTTTCACTGCTAGGCAAGTCCGTTTAGCGTAGTTTGCAATTTTTGCCTTTAAACCAGCTCAATTAGCAATTGAGCAAGCAAACTTGTTTCGGTTTTATCCTAGGGTTCTTATTACTATACCACTTTAAGCTATAGCTCAGCCTCTTATGACAACTAATTTTTCCAATGATATGATTGGAGATGGACGCACCCTTTTTGGTAACTACCAACGGTTGGAAGTGACAATCCGAATAAAAAATGCTGACAGACACGGTTAGGGATTTTCGCTAAACTCCAGCCGGTTGCGCAAAAAATGAGAACTTGGTCAAAAATCTCGACGGTTTCCTTTATTCACTGTCGGCCAGGCAGGCTCCGCATAGATTCCAGGTAAATGCATGCAGATCAGTTCTATCATCTGCTTGGCGTGCCAAACTCGTGAGTAGTGTTTGGCCGATTATTTGAAACATGAGAATGGAAAGCGATGACTTTCTCCTACCGGCTCAAACTGCCATTTCTGTCCATCTCGACCCAGGATAGAAGTGACCGGACGGCGAGAATAAGGGCATGATTCCGCTTTGTGGGTGTGCCAGAGTAATACACTCCTTTGGATCTGCTGCTGCTACTACGGATGCTGCAGGCCGGGCTGCTGAAAAGTGGTGAAGAGCACGCTCACAGGTGCCTAGCCTGGGCGCTGACAGCACAACGAGCACCGGTTGAATGGCAAAAGTTTCTGGAATGCATGCCTGAAGTCCACGTTAAAGGTGGTGTAGAGGATGGGATTAATGGCACTGTTAAGGTAACCCAACCAGACGATGAAGGACTCGGCTCGATTGTCCATCCGCTCACGGCAGGGCCGGCCGCAGAGGGGCAGGATGACGTACATCAGGAAAAAGGGCAGCCAGCAGAGGATGAAGGTGCCCATGATGATGGCGAGGGTGCGTGCGGCGCGTCGTTCTCGAGTGAGCGAGATTTTGTGTCGTTCCTGTGCAAAACTCTGCAGATACACGCCCGTCGTACTCGCGCTTCCCATCGCCGTGGCGTTCAGGCTGGAGCAACTCTGTGGCATGCGTGCCGATCCGCAGTCCACGGGTCTGAGGCCTGTTTCGCCGGTCGGCTTCGCCGTCATCATCGCAGCTCCGACTCCCTCTGGCCTTTCGTTAGCGCTACTGACCCTCGGCGTTGACGTTGACGCCGAAATGGTGCTGACGTCGGCTTTGGTGCCGGCGGCGGCAGCGGTGGCGGTTGCACATTTTCGCATACTCTTCAACCGAGCTACCGGATGCATGCCATTGCAGCGATCCGGGTCGCTCGGCTTGGTTGACGCCATCGCGACTTTCAGAGTCTCTCGAGACGGGCCGTCCTGAGGCGAGATGGGTCGGGCCTCTAGACAAGGTGGGTCTGCGAACCGCTCGTTCTGTTGGCCGGGCTCGCAACCGACCGGTCTGGAGGCGATGGTGGCAGCGGCGGCAGAAGTGAACTGGAACTCGGCCCATTTGGCGGTGTCTGCCATGCGAGAGGAGGGCCGGATAGCCGGCGTCTCTAGGCACTGACCTCCC